ACCTAGTTTATCAATTGTGAAACTAGGTTTATCTCATTTTTGTGAATTTGGCGTGCCATATTATACATGTATTAGTAATGCTGGTCGCTGGAAAGAATAAGGGGTCTGTTTATAGTATACTATACATTTACATAACAAATTTCCATTTAATTTTAAAAATTCAAACCCAAGCATACCGATTGGTTTAAAGATTTCTCTTTCTGAAAAAAAAAAAATTGAATAAGCATGTTCGATTTTCATGCATGGAATTTCTGCAATATTTTAAGTATTAATATTTTTGTCAGAATAGTAGCTTTTGTTACTCTGCATTTTCAAGCCGTCAAATGTTGTATTCCAATGCATTGTTAAATTTTGTGCAGAGGTTTATGATACATAGCAATTCCTTTTTCAACTGAATAAATTATCACGTCGTTGTGGATCAGAAGATTAGAAAAATTCGATTTTCAATATAGATATCAGTGCAATGAATAAACAGAACAAATTGATTAATTATTGTTCAATATTTACAGAAGACCTAAACCATTTGATTTATTGTTCAATATCAGCCAGTAATTCAATCCATGAGTCTCCGGTGTCCACACTCCATGAATCTAACTTTCAGGAAATATTCAAAAGATTTAAAGAATATTATTCAGCTTTCGTTTCACTTTCTTCGAAAACAAAATATCTTACGCTAAGTCTTGATCTGGTCCATACGATACTTTGTGTATATTGTATATGCATGTAGGTATAATTTTATATATAACCTCTGCATATTATGATGCACAATAACAAAAGATTATGAATATACTTTTAAAATTCTACGATGAGTTCCATAACTAGACTGAGTACTTGTAGTTTTGAAATCAGTGGCATGTACTGGTTAGTCTCATTAAATCTACATTCCACGAATTCTTAGCATTATATATAATGTGGATGACATTTCATTTGAGTGTGCATTTCATTTATCAAAATCGATTTTTTGGTTGACTATTTTGACTTTTTTCATATTAATTTGGAACGTTTTCATCATGTTCATTTTATTGGTTTTTTTTTTTTAAAATAATTTGACTCAGTGAACCACTTTTGCGTTTGGCCCATATTTTCACAAAATCGGATATTTTCATTTTGGTTTCTTGAAATTCAGTTTTTATGTGGGCAGCTGTAGATAGGATAAGGAGGTTGAGTCACGTGAAAATTAAGACCTCTTTAAAGAAAAAAATACAGAGGTCTTTTAAAACAAGATTTTCAACAACAATTTTGTTTGAAATATATTGCCTACATGTATATAGATGAAGAATTTAAGCCATTACATTAAATATTATATCTGCAAACTGTGGAATTATTTTCTCTAATTATTTTAAATACTTATGAAACGTGAACCACCCATTCTCAATATAAGGGCACAAATGCCTCTCTGATTTTTTAAAAAATGAAGTTCAAGATAACAATTTTTCTATCAATTACCTTTGAAAGAAAGTATCTGAAGATTTTGTTACCAAGTTTTTTTTCATCAAATTTTAATACATGGAATAATGACAAGACGGTAAAGAGAAATGTAGCTTGAAATGTACGTTACTCTTTCTTCAATGTCCAAAAATATATGTAAAAAAAATGTAGTCATTAAAATCACAATTGGAATATCTCATCTTGACACCAGCACATCCTACCAACTCTGTCAGCAACATATTTTCTCGGCATACAAACGTGCGCTTGATTTTTCCTTTCAAAAAACAAAGGTTACTTTTTGACCCAGATGTATAAAAACATTTTTTTAAATATATGCTTTAAATTCTTCTCTCTGTTTTGTTTAGAGCGATCAGTTTAGAATCTTGTCATTTTCTATAGATAGTGGAACTTAACATGTACATGTAGTAAAATTATATTTTGTAGTTATTGTCTATTTTAATATATATCCATGCCGATTTAGACAACTACGTAAATGTAACGTACATTTCAAGATATTTTTCTGTTAAATAAAAAGCTTAAAATTCATCTAAAAATTCATAGTTTTGTTTCAGTTTATTCCAAAAAAGATTCTCTATGTAATCACATTGTGTTATATGTCACAATCATCACTATAAAGACACGATTGCCTCAGAATATGAGTAGGTAACGTACATTTCAAGCTTGTAATGTACGTAAATTAGTAATAAGAAAATATTGGAAAAAACAATTATTGAGATAAAAATCATTTCAATGAAGCGTTTTAACGCAGTAATATAAGAAATAATATGGTAACAAACGTGGTTGTTTGTCATCAACTACATGAATGCCACGTCACTTCGGTAACGTTCATTTCACATATTATTGGGGAGTCCCCTCCATCTCAGTTCATTACCATTCTTTTTTGCTGTTTCGCTGAAATTGACACCGGTCGTAGCCTAGTTACTTCTACCTGTGTGCAAGGGTACAGACAAAAAAAAAAGAGTCAGACGTATTTTGCTATGATCTAACAAATGTTTGTGTTTGGCCATTGAAACTTAACATAAATCTATTCCGAATATATCCATCGACAGTCTTGTTAACAATTTCTTTTTAATAGTATGTTGCAACATCGTTTGTCAAAACACAAACATACGTAATTTTCAGCAGATCTGGAAAAATATAACCTAAAATGCAATGATTCAAACAAAACTGAGTATTGTGTGCCTTTCAGTATTTGAAATGTACGTGACCGTCTTGTGTTTTTTGATTCATTTGTTTTGTTTCTTTTTCCTTTTTTTTTTTTTTGTTTCTTTTTAGTTTTTTTTTTTACCAATTAAAAGCCTATGAATACCTTGTTTTAAATTACCAACAACAATTAAATTTATATTGACGAAAAGTCGCATATTAAAAGTAAACAAACTGCAAAAAGGTTGCTAAAGATGAATTTAAGACACATAGAAATAAATTTTCTAGCAAGACAGTGGTAACAGTCCACCACATTTACGAGGATTGGGGTGCATTTAGATGGATTTATGTGGTCATTTGTCAAATGGATTGTAACGATAATTTTGTTTCGCTCGTGTAAACGCAATTAATTGACTAAATAATGAAAACAATGTCAGTTAGAAATGGACAAAATGTACATTACCATTCGTAACGTACATTTCAAATATAAAAATCAATTCTCTTCCACAAGCGTACGTTAGACACGCAATATATTGAGACTATTTGAACTTGCATATCATAAGAAATGCATCATACAGGTTTCGTATTCAGAAATATATACCAGGTATCAAAATTATATTACATATAATTGACCTTAATATATTTTTTTTCCTCAGCAGAAACGTTTCTATTCATTAATTTTGGGATTTAGCCGACCTCCAACCTTTGAAACTTTACTTTGTGTACACATTCGAGTTTGTGAAAGTATGAGAATACATGAAAATTCGTGCGAGATTCACTTAATTCGAATTTCATGGTAACGTACATTTCAGTCACGTAAATTTCAAATGATCACTTTTCATGTAAAAAATAATTTTTAATTGTGTTAAGCAAAACGTCTTTGCCAGTTTACAGGACACAAGGGGTTGCTTATTCAGAGTCGTCTCAAATTTTCTACTTAATATATATTCTTAATGGAAGAATATAGGTAACGTACATTTCTTTCTTATCTCTACGATTGAAAATGTCTTTCATTCCGTAAACATATTTATAAAAGTTGCTAAAATTGTTCAATTTCATGTTACATTATCTATGTAGGAGAAATTAACCCTTTGAAATTTCAAATTTAGCCCATCAATAAATAAAGGAGAACAAAACTATCAGGTGTATAATCTTTGTGTTTGCTTGTAATGTGGCTAAAATAGAATTAAGCGACAGGGACATCGCACAATAAAAATTATTTATTATCACAAAGAAAATGTATTTATTGTTATGAAAAGAAGTATATATGATACAAGGTTTAACTTATCAGAAAATTTTTACTTGAGAATCAAAACTATATATTACACAGAAGGGATTCAGCATAATATTGGCCTCGGCGACAGTAACGTACATTTCAAATAGGCTACTATATTTGAATTTTGAACTCCTTAAATACCCTTTCAGATCGATAATTATATGAATTCTTATTCATTGTTATATGACTATTTATAATGTTGATTTAAAAAATTACATCAGTGGTATTTCTTCTAAATGAAAACGAGGCGACATTATTTGCGCCCTTATATTGAGAATGGGTGGAACATGACCAAATGCAAACTTCAAGTAATATTCCGCTGTTGGAGCTCATGAAAATGTGAAGCCAAAACACCATGCACTTGACTACATAGGGGCTCGTCTTCCGGATTGTTAAATGTAAAATAAATTTTAAAAAAAATATTTACATTATTGATTTAATAAAGATTCTGACACGATCAGGAAAGAAAAATCATGTTTTTAAAAAAAAGTACTACACCTACATGTATATACATAAACATTATGTTTATGTATATAGGTGTGTTTTTTTTAACATGAATTTTCTTACCTGATCGTGTCAGAATCTTTATTAAAGCAATTTTAAGAGTACATTTAATATAGATATTTTCTTAATCTGCTTTAGTTTACATTTAACAATCCGGAAGACAGGCCCCTATTCTTGACTCTCTAGTAAATAGAACTATGTAATTTAAATTGTATATATGCATTTATAATATTATTTGACATAACATTTACACTATTTCATCCATACATTAACCCCAGTCTATGAATGTATTTAATATTATCAGACAGTATTATTTGATTCAAGTTATTATTTAATCAACCTGGGTTTCAATATTGTGTCTAAATTCTACAAAGTTATAAGTTTAGAAAATTGAGTTAAGATTATGATAAAATGGGAACTAAAGATTTGAATAGATATACATGTATAATAATTGTGTATGATATATTTTCTTTATTAAAAAAAGAAATACTGAGTCATATGTACAATGTATATCCTCTTTAACATTCGGAGATTTAAAAGCCACCGTTTTGGTTTTTGTGTTTATATTTTTTCTTAAAATCAACGTCTTTAAAATACATCTTTGTCCACATTAGTTTTAAACGCTTTAGGGACTAGGGGAATTCGTCTGCGAGAATGGCGTCCGAGGTCGCTGAAGATTTTCCTTTGGAAGGCTTGTTACCTAAAAAAGAGACTGGTGCCTATTCATTTCTTTCTAAGTACCCAAACTATGACGGGAGAGGTGTTCTTATAGCTATTTTAGACACAGGTGTAGATCCAGGAGCACCTGGATTACAGGTATCCCCTCAATGAAACGTTTTATAATTTGAATGTGTGTAAGTTGCTGGACAATGACTTGCATAATTTTATGTGTAGCCTGTAAGCCTGTATGACTTTTTCTTATGAATGATGCCTGTCTTTCAATCAAATGTAGATATTTTTTTGTATTTAATTACTCGATTTCTTCATTGATTCTTTTTATCTCTTGTCAAATTCATCACATTCATAGCTGATAGAAAGCAGGTAACAAATAAGAGGAAAGTGTTATTGAATATTGTGTTGTAGTCAAGGAAACATAGTTTGTTTTTATTTTTACGCAAAATACGTTTTGAATAGGATGCTTAGTAGGAGTATCCTTTTAATTTTAACATAATATGTCGTTGGTTTCACTTCCAATACAAGAGGAAGAACATTTTTATAATCTGTATATTCTTGAAAATTAGTCACTGTATAATCTTATGCAATCTTTAAAAAGCTTATTGTCCCTCTAGACTCATAAGTCTCTTATGTAAGATATTGAGGATAAGTGTGGAATAACCGAATTTGTATAGAATTAATTGACTGAATCCCTTTAAAGCAAACAATCATATGAGGCAATGCCTTCAAATTTTATGATAAATATCAAGGAATGTACAATACTCAATATTCTGAACTTGAAAACTCATTGCAGGAGAAATTAGATTTTTATCAAATCATTCTTCACCAAATATTTTGTCTGCCATCCAGATATATATACAATCATAATTTTTATAGCTGCATGGGTTAAAGTTTACTTATAGATTTTGGAAGCCGTGGAGGCAGGTCAAGGGACACTTCCTTTTTTTCTTTAATTCAAAAATACCATTAGATTTAATTTTAAAAACATTTTGAACTTATGACAGTGAGTATATGAGAAAAAAAAATAATGCACCTTTTATTAATTTTAAGACAACACCAGATGGAAGCCCCAAAATTGTTGACTTAATTGACACAACAGGATCCGGGGATGTTGACACTTCTAAAATTGAAGAGGTGAAAGATGGAGAAATTACGGGTGTTACTGGTCGTAAACTTAAGGTATGAAAATAGATATGATTCAATGGCAAACAAATACATGAAGAATTATAAGTGGTGTAACCACAACTTGTTCCACTGATTACTGTAATTTTTTAATTGTACATGTATCAAAATACCATCTCAGATATAAGGAAATAAGTTCTCTTAAACCATATTAACATTTTTCTTTTGAATAAATCAACGCAGATTCCAGACACTTGGACAAATCCCTCTGGTTTATACCATGTAGGAGTAAAGCCGGCCTATGATCTGTTTCCAAAGAAGCTCCAGGATAGGCTAAATAAAGAAAGGAAGGAGAAGAACTGGGACCCAGCCCATAGAGAGGCTATAGCTGAGGCCACAAGGAAGCTAGAGCAGTATGAGGCATCCAGTTCTAACCAGGTCAGTGACCTCTTAGTTAGCATATCATTGGTCAGAATCTAAGTTATAATTATATTACACTGTCTGTCAATTTTACCATGCACTTAATAAAACTTACCAACAAGGTTCAAATGCTTATGAAACTAGAGTCATCATACAGTACTGTTAAATACATGTATGTAACTATCCAGTTGGAGTTAGATTTATGGAGTGCAAGTTAATTTACTAGATGACTGCTCAATATCTGATGATTGTCTTGGTTTATTTTAACACTTCAGATGTCAACAAGATCTAAGCATGAAAGTGCTTATAAATCAGAAACTTTTTGTTTACTGATGTTACAAAAACATACAATTTCATCAAGAAATTTAAAAGCTGTTGAAATCGAAATTAAAACAAAGGTGTAGTTTGGGTTGCATTCACCTTTATACTACCAAATTCCTGATACATGTATATACTTTATCACAAAACTTTTATACAGTCTTTTTACTCTCATTTGTGTCTGTTGTCTTGGTCCATATAAATATCCCATAGCACTTTTGCATATAGGACTCTTTCTGAAATGTAAATTATAGGGGCTTGTGAATAAGGTTTGTCATGTTTAATTTGCATATTTGTCATTCAAATAGAAGTTAGATGTTATTTGATAAATCTCATTCAGGATGATAAGCTGGAAAAAGAAAATCTCCAGAGTTGTGTTGACATCCTGAACAGTTTGGAGAAGAAGTACAGTGACTGTGGACCTATTTATGACTGTGTCGTCTTCCATGATGGGTCTACTTGGAGGTAGGTCTACAATCACCCAGAGAAAAGTTGAACTTAACTGTAAGAAGAATGAAAACCTCAAGATCATGAAGATGAATTAGTAGCATATACAGAGATTTTGCTTTTATTTATACTATAAACAAGAATTGTGAAACTTATTTTCGGTGTAGACTACTAATACCTGTTAAAAGCATCCAATAATATTATTGTGAAAGATTTTGATAAATTTTTGTTGAATTTGTTTTCCAGATTCTATTATTTAGTGTAGAATATGAAAACTTAATGATTTGGTACCAGAAATTTGCAAAATAAGGAATTACAAATATTACTTTTTCCCTCTCACGTGCCAAATTTATAAATGCAGTTGAATATACGTGTAGTTGATATCTAGAAAAATTTGAAAAAAAGAAATGTTTATTTGCAGGGCTTGTGTGGACACAACAGAAAGAGGAGCTTTGTGTGAATGTAAACTGCTGGCCAGCTACCATGAAGAGCAAGAATTTGGCACCTTCAGCCGCTTAGACATGATGAACTACACTGTCAATATTTATAATGATGGGAACACCCTGGAAATTGTCACAAATGCAGGTAACTGGTCTTTGTATTGTATATTTAGATTCGGGTCTATAAAAAGTATACTAGCAAAGTAAACTTCTCAGGTTTGATCAAGAGGTATTAGATAAATAGGGATTTACCACCATTTGAATCTCAGCAGCTGCAAATCTGTAGCTCATCTGAAAGAAAAATTGCAATGGATGGCCAAAGTGCATTTTTTTATGTACCTTTTTTGTTGGTGATTTTTTTAGGGGCCCATGCTTCCCATGTGGCAGGGATCACTGCTGGATATTTTCCTGACCAACCAGAGAGAAATGGAGTGGCCCCGGGGGCACAGATTATATCCATTAAGATAGGGGACACAAGGCTGGGATCTATGGAGACAGGCACCTCGCTAGTCAGGGCTGTAAGTATAGGCATTTATAAAATAAACCCCTGCTGTAAAATCATTCATGGAGTAAATTTTTCATGGTTTGAGGCAAGTCTTGGATTTGTAGGGATTACATTTTGTGGATGAAAAATTGTTAAGTAGTAAAGTGTATGACATTTCATGGTATACATTAATTCGTGGTCTTCATACATTGAGAGCAACAAAGACTAACCCCCCCCCCCCCCCCCCATGAAAATTATTGATATCATAGTATTTGACTTGAAAGGTAAAATATCTCTTTCTGAAGGAAAAATCTTTAAAGCAGTACATTGTAATAAAATGATATTCTGTATTTTTAGATGATCAAAGTGATAGAGTATAAGTGTGATCTAGTCAACTATAGTTATGGAGAGGCAGCCAGCTGGCCAAATTCAGGGTATGTATCATTTACATGTGCATGTATATGTATTTTTAAAAAAATTAGTGGTTTAAGAAATAAGAATATCTTTTATAGTCCTACTTTTATACAGTATGGCTTATTGAAATGTCATGTCTTTTGATAGTTCATGGAATATTGGGGTATTAATTCAAAATTTAAGCATGAAGTATAGCACCATATTACAAATAATTTAAGATATTTTGACAAATCGTTTATCAGTCATTTCTCTATTGTTTTAGGCGTGTGGTAGATATACTGTCTGAGGCTGTAAATAAACATGGGGTGATTTTTGTCAGCAGTGCTGGGAACAATGGTCCCGCTCTGTCTACTGTTGGGTGCCCTGGAGGCACTACTAGTGCAATGATAGGTATATATTTAGATGTATTAAGTTTGTTTTCATGTAATATGTATGTTCAATAAAAGGGAATCCATTATAATCCAAAAGTGATAAAATTTTTAATAATGGAAAGTCATTTATATTAAACAAAATTCCATATTTTATATACAACCTGTATTTTAGATTTATGCATATTTCAATTGTTGTCTGAAAATTTCATTTTTATAAAGATATATGAAATACTTATTTTTAATGAAGTATGAAATAAATGCAGAATAAGATTAATTGATTTGCAATATGACAAAAACATAACAGATCTTGATATTTGAACATGTTACTTTCCTATTCTCAATAATTATTGTTTTCTTTACTAGTCTGGACATTGTAATGATATACATGTATTACTGACAGCTTGTGTTTAAATCTCTCTGTAACTTATTTTAATGAAATAAATCATTTTTGGTTTGTCTTTTGTAGGGGTAGGGGCCATGGTGTCCCCAGCAATGATGGCAGCTCAGTACTCCCTCATGGAGAAACTGCCATGTAACCAGTACACATGGTCATCTAGAGGACCAACGTAAGTTCACAAAGTAGACTAGTTCATACTGTATAAAGTACCCTTTTCAAAGTTTAAAAAAAACTTCAATTAATCAATTCTGTCACTTGTTCACACTGTATAAAATAGACTATTTAAAGTTAACCTCATTCTATCAATTCTCTCACTTTATCTTTAAAAAGTAATGATCTTTATTTACCAGACATGATGGAGATCTTGGAGTGACAATCAGTGCCCCAGGGGGTGCCATTGCCTGTGTCCCAAACTGGACTCTGAGGGGCAATCAGCTGATGAATGGAACTAGCATGAGTTCTCCAAATGCTTGTGGCTGTATAGGTTGGTATCTTTTCTACATGTACATGTACAATCTCTGGTTTTACTTTATTTAGTATCATTCTTTTACCTTGAACATGTTCAAAGAAGGTTTTTATGTTTTTTATCATTTTTTATGTAAATAAGTTAGATGCAATGCACTATAAGTGCTCACAGATATCATTAAGGTAAATTTAACAAGTGTGTAGACATCTCACCAGCTGAACATGCTTCAAAGAAGGTGAATGTAAACTATATAGGGAAATTCTATGTTTTTTATCATATAACTTTTTTTGTTTATTTTAACTTTAAAAATCTTCTTCTCAAGTACTTAGTATTTCTATTATAGTTTGGTTTCAAAAATGGCCGACCAAAGTTTTTAAAGATATATATAGGAAAATTCTGATTAAAAATCATTTTATAAAAAATAGCAAATCCAAAACATTTTTTAAACTAAAAGCTTTATTTCCTTTCATACAAAGCTTGTTGTACTTTCTGGATTGAAAGCCAATGGCATAGAATACTCACCTTTTAGTGTGAAGAGGGCTTTGATAAATACAGCCACTGCTGTGCCAAACATTGAGGTCCAGGCACTGGGGCACGGTCTTATACAGGTAAATTGTAATTGATTTTCAACCTGACCTTCTTGGTTGTGGTCTGATACCTTTCCATATTTTAGCTGCAAATGTTGTCAGTCCTAATTGTCCATATGGAATGAATTTAAAAGACAGCATTCAACTGAACGATATATCTGCTTACAAGAATAGAATTTGTTAAATGTTTACGCTAAGAAGACTATTAATATCCTTGTATCGCTAACATATTTGTCAGGAGATTACCTCGATTTAGAAATTTATAGAACATGTACACTCTTTCGTATCAAATCTCCTGTTCGACATAAACTCCATATACAATGAACACGACATTATGATATAGTCATACATGTTGGATAATAGAAAAGTTTAAGTCATCACGCTTGAGTTTCATAAAGTAATGCTGTTCGTTTACCCAGCAAAGCTTTGATCAGTCCTATTTGTATGTATCCCAGGGGAGTGCTTCTAGCGAACATAAAATTGTGCACTCATCACACCATCGTCTCAAGCCACGGTCCGGAGTCCGCAAACATAGCTCTCTCCAGAATGGGAGAGGATCGTACATTTTGGCCGTGTTTTGCAACGATGTCATAACACAGGCCTTTAGATCGCTTTATTCGATTGTCAAAAAAATTGTGTGTTAAAAAGTTAGGATATGGAACTCCTTAAAAGTACATAGGGTAGATGTAGATGCAGTATCAGGCGCGTAGCCAGGCGTACATTTGTATGCACAAACGTCCACATCCAGACGCGTAGCCAGGCGTACGTTTGTACGCACAAACGTCCACATCATTTCCCCCCAGAGAGAGAAAGGAGAAGAGAGCGAGGCAGGCGTAAAATTTTAAAGCGTACTCATCATTTGTGCAAAACATTAGTAAATAATAGAAAAAAAATACTTAGAAACAAGTCAGAATTTACGATAAAAAAATAAATGAAAATCAACAGAATCAGTTTTAAGGGAAAATACAATAGTATACACCTCACCGATATCAAAAGATTTTCACAGATTTTGGTTTACTATCGAATATTGCTGGATTTTTTTCCAAGTATAATTACATTCTTAAAGAGTTTCGAATTTCAATTTCTATTACTGGAAATTAAAATCCAACTGTAATGCTTAACTTCTTTTTAAAATAATTAACCTAATATGGGATTCATGCGAAACCTCAAAAATCATAATTCAGCTTTATATGTGAACACCAAAAATCGAAAGTTGGTAAAATTCAGTTTAATTTAAACAAAAAGGCCTGTTACCACGTTCAAGCATTGACTAACTTCCCCAACACTATATACCTCAAAACCAATAGTATATTTTACATGTTATTCTAATTTTCGCAAAAAGTTAAATATTCCACATTTGTAAATATTCATGAACATTCTGTCATAAAACATGCTATTGGAAAGATCCTTTCTCATTTTTTAGTGTCTATCCGCATTTTGTATAAAAAAAGAACATCAAATGTGGCTGCATAAAAAACTGAAAAATTGTACGGAAATTAAATGCTATCAGGAGGGTCAAATCTTCGAAAATTCACCAGCTACAGGGGGCTTTGCCCCTTAGGCCACCACCAAGGCTTCGCCCTGGACCCATTGGAGGCCTTAAGGCCACCAAACCTCCAGTCTGATTAAAATTAGATGCTGGATCCGCTCGCAGACTCGTAGCGAGTATGCGAGTTGATCTAACATCTAATTTTAATTAAATTGCTAAGCCCCCTGCCTATTACTTTAAGGCGTCCACATCAAAAGTACCCTGGCTACGCCCCTGAGTACAGGGGACTTTAAAATTTTACGCCTGCCTCTCCTTTCTCTCTCTCTTTTATTATTATTTAGGGGGGGGGGGGGAATGATGTGGACGTTTGTGCGTACAAACGTACGCCTGGCTACGCGGCTGAAAAAGACTGAGACTAGTCAAAATTCACATATACTTTGATCATTAGTAAACTTTAAGTGAATCATCGTGCATACGTACAGATATTTCTCCATCAGATAATAAAGGCTTGTCATAATTTTTAATTCTTATACCACCAACCTTTCACTTGCTATTTGACTTCGAATTAAAGTCAAGACACTCCTTAGGTTCATAAACAGTACCTGTATCAGGTTCCAATGAGCAATCTTTGTATCAAGTACGAGCTCCTAGTATTTCTACATTGTTAAGTTAAAGTCTTAAAAAAATAATTTTACACTATTCTGCCTGTAACTTTGAACGTGCTGCATTGACACTGGATTAAAATAAGAACTTTCCTTATTTCAAAAACAATACCTGTACCAATTCTTTTCCAAATAAAGTTTTAGCCGAGACATTTTTTTTCTTTTTTCTACCAGTGACCTTGAAATCGCCAAAATGACCTTGGATAAAGGTCAAGGCATATTCTTTGATCATAAGCAATATCCGTACCGAGTATGAGCTTCCACTGACTCTCCATTACAAAGTCAAGTTATTCATACCTTTTTAGCTCACCTGAGCCGAAGGCTCGTGAGCTTTTCTGATCAAAATTTGTCCGTCGTCTGTCGTCGTTGGTGTCGTCGTTGGTGTCGTCGGCGTCGTCGTCGTAAACTTTTCACACTTTCATCTTCTTCTCAAGAACCACTGGGCCAATTTCAACCAAACTTGCCACAAAGTGTCCTAAGTTAAGTTGATTCAAGTTTGTTCAAATGAAGGGCCACGCCCTCTTCCAAGGGGAGATAATAATGAATTAGTGAAAAATTAATGGCATTTTTTAAAAATCTTCTTCTCAAGAACCACTGGGCCAGGAAAGATGAAACTCATGTGGAAGCATCCTCAGATAGTGTATATTCAAATTTGTTACATAGGAGTATATAGGGAAAATCTTTAAAAATCTTCTTATACCACCCTCAGATAGTGTAGATTCCTTTCCACAATGGCCGATCAAAGTTGTACATAGGAGTATATAGGGAAAATCTTTAAAAATCTTCTTCTCAAGAACCACTGGGCCAGGAAAGATGAAACTCATGTGGAAGCATCCTCAGATAGTGTAGATTCAAGTTTGTTTAAATCATGACCCCGGGGGTTAGGTTGGGGCCACAATGGCCGACCAAAGTTTTACATAGGAGTATATAGGAAAAAATCTATAAAAAAATCCTCTTCTCAAGAACCATTGAGACAGGAAAGATGAAACTCATGTGAAATTATCCTCAGGTAGTGTAGATTTAAGTTTATTCAAATCATGACCCCTGGGGGTAGGGTGGGGCCACAATGGCCGACCAAAGTTTTACATAGGAATATATAGGGAAACCTTTTAAAAACTTCTTTTCAAGTACTTCAAAGCCATGATTAGTAATATTTATATGGAATCATCCTCAGGTAGTGTAGATTCTAGTTTGTTCAAATCATGATCCTCTGGGGTGTTAAAATTCAAGTCCCCCCCCCCAACCTCAGTAAACTTTAAGTTCTGATCTGATATGTGCTTTCTCCTAGCTGAATATGCTCAGGTGAGCGCTGTGGCCCTTGGGCCTCTTGTTTCTACTAGTAACCTTGAACTAAATGGAATGACTGGATAAGATCATGACACATTTTTGGGTCATAAGCAATCCCTGTACCAGGTTTGAGCTTCCAGTGATTCTTTCTACAAAGTTATGACCCAGACAAAAATTTCATACTTTTAGGCCAGTGACCTTGAACTTGCAGGAATGACCTTGTGTCTGATCAGGACTCACTGTCGGGTCATTACAAGCAAGCTCTATAACAAGTATAAGCTTCCAATGTTTCCATATATCAAAGTTAGAGCCTAGACAAAATTACATTCACAGACAATGTGATTTCTATATATCCCTAAAACTTCCTTTGTTTGGGGTAAAAAGAGAAGTTTCATTACAAGGAATACACATTTGAAATATGAAAGCCCTAGCACTAATCATTCACATCATTTTGTTTTACTAAAGTAGGTCAAAGTCTAACTTAAAGGTTAAAAAAAGTTAAAAAGGAATGGCCATGGGTAGTAAAAATTAGTAAATTTGGAGACACATAAACAGACAGACAGTTTATCAAAATATGTCCCCAAATCTTCAATTATAGAGGTGGAATAAAAACTCAACAAGTTTAATTCCATGACAAACAGACTTTATAATAGTGTATTTTAATATATATGATAAATTCAAACTGACATAAATTAATCATGTATCACAAGGGACAAACACAGTTTTTACAATTACATGTACATCAGTTATGCTTTTCAAGAAAAATTGAAAAAATATGAAACATCTAGAAAATCTTCATATACTACTTGTGTATGAGGTAGAACATGCTTATAGAACTTGACAAGGAAAAATATTTCATGAAAAACTTAAATTACTTAGAACCTCAGTAACAACTAAAAGAAGGAAAAAGTGTTGCATACAAAGATAAAACTAAATTAGATAAGCAAGAAACCCATGGGCCACATCACTCACCTGAGTAACTTTGGCCATTATGTTATTAAACAGATTTCCCCCTAATACCTATCTTGACCTTTCCCAATCCCCAGGGGTCATGATCCAAGCAATTTAGAATCTACACTAGTAACACTACCCCAGGATGCTTCCACAGAAGTTTTAGCTTTTCTGGCCCAGTGGTTCTTGAGAAGATTTTTTTATGACCCCACCCTATTTTTGTATATTCTTGACAATTTCCCCGCAGAAGGGGACTTTATTTTTATAATTTAAACTCCCACTACCCAAGGATGTTTTGTACTAAGTTTGGTCAAAATTGGCCCAATGGTTCTCAAGAATAAGCTGAAAATGTGAAAAGTTTACAGATGAATGGACAGTCAGACGGATGGACGACGGACAACAGGTGATCAGAAAATCTCATATGAGCTAAAAACTGCAAGGCCTGCTATGTAAATCAAAGGAGAGAAAATATAAAAGAATTTAGATTTTGCATATTGTTATATTTATTTATAATCTAAAACACTACAAAATAATAATGTTACAATGAGATCACTTTATCTTTTCTAGCAATTTTCAAACTAAAATTAGATATCATTGAGATGGTGGCCATCTCAAAGGGTCCCACTTTCAGCAATGAACATAAAAATGTAAAGTAGCTGAAAGGGGTTTTAACCTTGATTCTTGGCCTAGAAACTTTGTTCAAGGTCACTACACATCCATTGACCAGTGGCACTCTGTGAGAGAAGTATTAGCCACATTGGACCAAGGGGAGAAAGCATATGCTCTGGACAAGGATTCACAATAAAAAAAAATTACCTCCCTTTCTCTTAAGCTTAGATATTCAGACAAGCACTGATTTACCTCTCTTGATATTTTTGCTTAAAAATCCAATCTTTAACTTTTTTAAATTAAAAAATATAATATACAGATACAAAAAAAAACATTCAGAAATAATAACGTAGTATATGAAAAGTTGTACAATAATGTAGTAACACAACTTTGAGTGATCTGCTGTGGATGTCACATGAGTTATCCTTAATGAGTAATGTACTCAGCATGGTACACTGAATCCTGAGAATTAAGCTGTTTACTGTGTCCATCACTTTGTAGATATTAGTACATATTCAAAGCTATTTAGTGTGTCCATCACTTTGTAGATAACAATGTACTCAGCACGGTGAATTTTGTCAGTTAAGCTATTTAGTGTGTCCATCACTTTGTAGATATATAACAATGTTCTCAGCACGGTCCATTGAAATCTGTCAGTTAAGCTATTTAGTGTGCCCATCACTTTGTAGATATATAATAATGTACTCAGCACTATCCATTGAATTCTTTGAGTTGAGTTATTTAGTGTGTCCATCACTTGCAGTCCAAACCTTAAATTACTCTCTGCACTATTGTTGAAGCATATTTGACTGCTATCAAAGAAACATGAAATTGATGGCAGTCTGCCTGTAAAAAAAGAAATCACAAGGACTCAACATAAATATTAATAAAATCTTAATAAATGAAAAATAGCTAACATATTTTTACAGAATAGAAGGATTTTGCAGAGCTTGTACATGTGTCTTACCTTTATTTTCAGGTCCCATAGTTGATCTCTTTGGAGTCTTGAGGAATCATGTTGATCTGCTTTTGGAAACAGGATCAATGCCAGCATAACCATCTGCCTATTAACAAAAAGACACTAAGAATCCAAGCAATGAGAGAGTCAAAATCTCCTCTAATTCACATAATGCAAGGTCTAGAGCTTTACATGCATCTGATCTGACTAACCATCAATGTTTAGGTTAGACAGTAGTAAGTCCTTACTTTCCACATTCTTGTTAACTGATTGAGATCAGTCTCATCTTCTACTTGTTAACAAAGGAAATCCAAAGATAATGAAAAAAACATGAACAAAAATACCTTGTGCCAAAATGTTCACCTGAGTCACCTTGACTTTGTCATCAAAAGAAAAATTCTTAATTCATATTTTTTTTTACTAATCCTAGTCCAAAGGGATCATGATGTAACCTAATTTGAAACAACACATCCTCGGGATGCCCTATTGTTATTGCAACACAGTCTTGCTGTTGTGCAGCAGAAGTAAATCCCCCTGGACCTATGATTTGATAAGTGTATAAAGAAAATTTGTCAATTGCAAAAAATAAATCTTTTTACCCACTCCTTAATCAGATATTGGCTGCTGTACAAAGCTTGGCAATAGACTCTTCTTTTTCTTCACTTGGTCAGCACTGGTCCTCTTCCCTTGTCAAATTCCTTGAAAATACTTGATGGAGAGAAGATAAGCAATAATACAAAGCAATGTAACAATCACAGAAATTCAAATGAACATAATCATTACAACATTATTAGCTTGAAAATCAAAAAGCAAATAAAGACAATAAGGTTATGATAGCTAGGAATAAGGTGGAATATTGGGGCAAGGAGAGGAAAGCATAGTTACTTTAGAGTAGGGAGGACAAAGATATGTCAGAAATAATTAAATAAAAAATACTTGTAAGACTCCTGCCTGTTAAAGTGGGTCATGATGAAGTTCCATAGGTGAAAAAGAAGTAAAGTCTGATTCTTACGAGTATTCTCCTCATGGCTGCAGCGGAATGGGAAAGGGACTCTTCCTCACTTAGAATTCCTAGTCAGTCTTAACTTTCTTCTGCTTAAAAAGATAAAACAGAGACATAAAAGGGGAAACACTTGCACTTCATACCAAGTGAGAAGCTTCAGTAAAAAGCAGCTTGTTGCTTACCACTTTTGAAACATAATACCTGCAAAACACAGACAGGAATAGACTCTTCTTATATTAATGACCTTGGTCCTCCATTGTTGTTCCTCTTCTGAATCAAAGGGGAACTGAAATCTGTCAATTGAAGGTCCAGATGTTAAAGCTTGGTACAGCCAACATCAATAGGCAAGCAAAGATACAAGAAGTAAAATCTGAATCTTACCCTGCTTTCTGCTGCTGTATGCAGTTCAAAGAGGGAGTCCTCCTCACTTCAGGATCCTGTTCAGCCTTAAAAGTATTCCTCTTAAAAAGATAAAAATTAACAGACACCAAAAGCGGATCACTTGCACTTCATACCAAGTGAGAAGATTTCTAAAATAAACTAGTCCATTGGCCACTAGTTTATTTTTTAAATCTACACTACCTGAGGATGACGCCACATAAGTGTCTCTTTTCTGTCTCAGTGGTTCTTGAAAAGAAGATTTTTAAAAGATGTCCTTAATTTTTCTCTTATATGTAGTAATCTTCCATTTGAAGAGGGAGTGGGCCTTCATTTGAATAAACTTAAATCCCATAATGGCATTTATCCTAGGATACTCTTTGCCAAGTTTTGTTGAATTTGACCAAAGATGAAAATGTGAAAGTTTACAAACAAGAGGCCCATGGGCCACATCGCTCACCTGAGAAGCTTTGACCATTCTGTTCTTTACCAGATTCCCCCCTTGTAACACATATTGTGACCCCACCCTACCCAACTGATCAAAATTTAGACAATTTGAAATCTACACTACCCCAGGATGCTTCCACATAAGTTTCAGCTTTTCTGGCCCAGTGGTTCTTAAGAGGAAGATTTTCAAAGATTTTTCCTATATATTTCTATGTAAAAGTTTGATTCCCCATTGTGGACCCGCCCTACCCCCGGTGGTCATGATTTTAACAACTTAGAATCTACACTACCCCAGGATGCTTCCCCACAAGTTTCAGCTTTTCTGGCCCAGTGGTTCTTGAGCAGATTTTCAAAGATTTTTCCTATATATTTCTATGTAAAAATTTGATTCCCCATTGTGGCCACGCCCAACCGCCAGGGGTCATGATTTGAACAATTTAGAATCTACACTACCCCAGGATGCTTCCACAGAAGTTTCAGCTTTTCTGGCCAGTGGTTCTTGAGAAGATTTTTTAATGACCCCACCCTAGTTTTGTCTTTTCTTGATTATCTCCCCTTGTGAGGGGACTTGGCCCTTCATTTTAACAATTTAAATTCCCCTTCACTCAAGAATGCTTGGTACCAAGTTTGGTCAAAATTGGCCCAGTGGTTCTTGAGAAGAAGTCGAAAATGTGAAAAGTTTACAGATGGACGGACGGACAGACAACGAACAAAATGTGATCAGAAAAGCTCACTTTAGCCTTTGGCTCAGGTGAGCTAAAAAGATGACAAAGACATAAAATGAACAAAGGTTCACTTCTTTTAAAAACCAGCACTTATATCAATTGATTCTACTACTAAATTGGGTTTGTGATCAGGAGAGATCCTATACGAGATGTTTACCAATGCTTTTGAGACTCATCTTCCCGTGCGTCCTTGCGAACTTAGCCTGGGACAAAATGATACCCAGTATCCGTCTGCTTCCACGTGGAGGCATCGCATAGGACTTGTTGTGGAGAGGCTATGTACTGGCACGGGAAGTCATTAGAATTCCCCCTTTTCGCATTGCTGCTAGCCAGCGGTGATGGCTGAAAGCGAGAGGTGACAAGCACACAGACACTAACACCAACACACTAGACGCGTCACACAACATTTAGCAGACGTTAGTAGTTTTAGTAGCTTGTTACTTGTTCAGGGTTCTCCATTGTTTGAAATTTTACTGTGTTGCAGAGTTTACGCAAAGCACTAAAATTTCACGGTATTTTAGCGATCAAATTTGCAACTGACTCACTATTCATTATAATTACTTAAGAATACATGCACACAATTTAAAAAAAAAAAAATCACCAATTCGTTACAAAAATAGTATGGTCGAACATATTAGCACATGTTGTGAAATGCAGAGGAAATTCTTGTCTATAAAGTTGAACTACTTACAATTTTTTAAAGCAAATTTGTCATAATTTTTTTGTCAATTTTATTGATCGAATTAAGGAATTACAAAAAAAGAGACTTCGGAATAGTAAAATACTTTTAAAAGTTCCTTGAAAATTGAAAACTATTTATTTACATCAAGTAAATGATTTTGGTACAGTGTTATGTTTGATTTACATTGCAAACATAATTCTAGAGCCATGGCTCTAAAGAAAAGACATTTAAATATATTTTTAAAAATAATACAATGTACTTTAATTGCAACTACTAGTACCAATTAAGCGTTACATGGAAGTTTGAAATCCAATTTTTTGTCTTTGTTCCTTCATGCGTCAAGTCCATTGAGGGTCTAGGAAATAATTGATTATGCAAGGTGAAAGCATAATTAAGTGATCTAGATATCGTATAGAATTGAAAGACGGTAGAATTGTTTGATCAATTATGTTTCAGATAGAGAGAATTTGTATGTTTCAATTTTTTTTTATTATCACAGATCTTACTGTGTCAGCAAAATTTTTAATGTGTCGCACAGATAAAATTTGAATCTTTACTGTGTCGGAGAACATTTTTCTGTGTCGGGACCAACACAGTAAAACAGCTCATGGAGAACCCTGCTTGTTAGGGTGTTAATCATGCAAACCTATCCACCACAAGCACTAATCATGCACTAACTAACAAATACCTTAATTACAATAATAACCTACACTCCTCTAAGCTGTCTAACTATCAACTAAAGCCTACTTACTAACTCAAACTACAACACAACTGCACCTACCGGAAATACTATACAAACTAAACCTAAGACTAAGAAACACCTTTGTAACGCTACTTACAACTACTATACACCCCATACTTTCTGAATGCAGCAGAAAACACTCCAGACTGACCTTCAGAGGTGGCTATCTCTGCTTCCTGTCAATTCAAACTCAAGAGGTCAAAGCCTGAAAAAGCCAACATCAATTGGAAAGCCATAATATTGGGAAAAGGTGCTCAGAGGTCAAGTATGAATCTTACCGCACTTTCTGCTCATGAACGCTGTTAAATGGGAGAGGGACTGCTCTTCACTTCAGGATCCTGGTCAGCCTCAAATTTCTTCTGCTTAAAAAGAGAAAACAAACACATCAAAGGAGAATCACTCACATTCCCTAACAAATGACAAACTTCATTTAAATAATCAATTTGTTACTTACAACCTTGAGCCATATTGGTTGCTGCATAGAGATGGGAAATGGACTCGTCATCCTGTCTTTTCCTGTTGGTCGACCTTGCTCCTCCATCGTTGTTCCTCTTCCGAGTCCCTGAAAGTATAAAACTGGCACAATGTTAGTAAAACTTCAAAAGAATGCAACAAATCACGAAAAGTTACTTACCACTTTGGGCCATGTTGGCTGCTGTATAGAGATGGGAAATGGACTCGTCATCTCGTCTTCCTCTGTTGGTCGACCTTGCTCCTCCATCGTTGTTCCTCTTCCGAGTCCCTGAAAGTATAAAACTGGCACAATGTTAGTAAAACTTCAAAAGAATGCAACAAATCACGAAAAGTTACTTACCACTTTGGGCCATGTTGGCTGCTGTATAGAGATGGGAAATGGACTCGTCATCTCGTCTTCCTCTGTTGGTCGACCCTGCTCCTCCATCGTTGTTCCTCTTCCGAGTCCCTGAAAGTATAAAACTGGCACAATGTTAGTAAAACTTCAAAAGAATGCAACAAATCACGAAAAGTTACTTACCACTTTGGGCCATGTTGGCTGCTGTATAGAGATGGGAAATGGACTCGTCATCTCGTCTTCCTCTGTTGGTCGACCTTGCTCCTCCATCGTTGTTCCTCTTCCGAGTCCCTGAAAGTATAAAACTGGCACAATGTTAGTAAAACTTCAAAAGAATGCAACAAATCACGAAAAGTTACTTACCACTTTGGGCCATGTTGGCTGCTGTATAGAGATGGGAAATGGACTCGTCATCTCGTCTTCCTCTGTTGGTCGACCCTGCTCCTCCATCGTTGTTCCTCTTCCGAGTCCCTGAAAGTATAAAACTGGCACAATGTTAGTAAAACTTCAAAAGAATGCAACAAATCACGAAAAGTTACTTACCACTTTGGGCCATGTTGGCTGCTGTATAGAGATGGGAAATGGACTCGTCATCTCGTCTTCCTCTGTTGGTCGACCCTGCTCCTCCATCGTTGTTCCTCTTCCGAGTCCCTGAAAGTATAAAACTGGCACAATGTTAGTAAAACTTCAAAAGAATGCAACAAATCACGAAAAGTTACTTACCACTTTGGGCCATGTTGGCTGCTGTATAGAGATGGGAAATGGACTCGTCATCTCGTCTTCCTCTGTTGGTCGACCCTGCTCCTCCATCGTTGTTCCTCTTCCGAGTCCCTGAAAGTATAAAACTGGCACAATGTTAGTAAAACTTCAAAAGAATGCAACAAATCACGAAAAGTTACTTACCACTTTGGGCCATGTTGGCTGCTGTATAGAGATGGGAAATGGACTCGTCATCTCGTCTTCCTCTGTTGGTCGACCCTGCTCCTCCATCGTTGTTCCTCTTCCGAGTCCCTGAAAGTATAAAACTGGCACAATGTTAGTAAAACTTCAAAAGAATGCAACAAATCACGAAAAGTTACTTACCACTTTGGGCCATGTTGGCTGCTGTATAGAGATGGGAAATGGACTCGTCATCTCGTCTTCCTCTGTTGGTCGACCCTGCTCCTCCATCGTTGTTCCTCTTCCGAGTCCCTGAAAGTATAAAACTGGCACAATGTTAGTAAAACTTCAAAAGAATGCAACAAATCACGAAAAGTTACTTACCACTTTGGGCCATGTTGGCTGCTGTATAGAGATGGGAAATGGACTCGTCATCTCGTCTTCCTCTGTTGGTCGACCCTGCTCCTCCATCGTTGTTCCTCTTCCGAGTCCCTGAAAGTATAAAACTGGCACAATGTTAGTAAAACTTCAAAAGAATGCAACAAATCACGAAAAGTTACTTACCACTTTGGGCCATGTTGGCTGCTGTATAGAGATGGGAAATGGACTCGTCATCTCGTCTTCCTCTGTTGGTCGACCTTGCTCCTCCATCGTTGTTCCTCTTCCGAGTCCCTGAAAGTATAAAACTGGCACAATGTTAGTAAAACTTCAAAAGAATGCAACAAATCACGAAAAGTTACTTACCACTTTGGGCCATGTTGGCTGCTGTATAGAGATGGGAAATGGACTCGTCATCTCGTCTTCCTCTGTTGGTCGACCCTGCTCCTCCATCGTTGTTCCTCTTCCGAGTCCCTGAAAGTATAAAACTGGCACAATGTTAGTAAAACTTCAAAAGAATGCAACAAATCACGAAAAGTTACTTACCACTTTGGGCCATGTTGGCTGCTGTATAGAGATGGGAAATGGACTCGTCATCTCGTCTTCCTCTGTTGGTCGACCCTGCTCCTCCATCGTTGTTCCTCTTCCGAGTCCCTGAAAGTATAAAACTGGCACAATGTTAGTAAAACTTCAAAAGAATGCAACAAATCACGAAAAGTTACTTACCACTTTGGGCCATGTTGGCTGCTGTATAGAGATGGGAAATGGACTCGTCATCTCGTCTTCCTCTGTTGGTCGACCCTGCTCCTCCATCGTTGTTCCTCTTCCGAGTCCCTGAAAGTATAAAACTGGCACAATGTTAGTAAAACTTCAAAAGAATGCAACAAATCACGAAAAGTTACTTACCACTTTGGGCCATGTTGGCTGCTGTATAGAGATGGGAAATGGACTCGTCATCTCGTCTTCCTCTGTTGGTCGACCCTGCTCCTCCATCGTTGTTCCTCTTCCCAGTCCCTGAAAGTATAAAACTGGCACAATGTTAGTAAAACTTCAAAAGAATGCAACAAATCACGAAAAGTTACTTACCACTTTGGGCCATGTTGGCTGCTGTATAGAGATGGGAAATGGACTCGTCATCTCGTCTTCCTCTGTTGGTCGACCCTGCTCCTCCATCGTTGTTCCTCTTCCGAGTCCCTGAAAGTATAAAACTGGCACAATGTTAGTAAAACTTCAAAAGAATGCAACAAATCACGAAAAGTTACTTACCACTTTGGGCCATGTTGGCTGCTGTATAGAGATGGGAAATGGACTCGTCATCTCGTCTTCCTCTGTTGGTCGACCCTGCTCCTCCATCGTTGTTCCTCTTCCGAGTCCCTGAAAGTATAAAACTGGCACAATGTTAGTAAAACTTCAAAAGAATGCAACAAATCACGAAAAGTTACTTACCACTTTGGGCCATGTTGGCTGCTGTATAGAGATGGGAAATGGACTCGTCATCTCGTCTTCCTCTGTTGGTCGACCCTGCTCCTCCATCGTTGTTCCTCTTCCGAGTCCCTGAAAGTATAAAACTGGCACAATGTTAGTAAAACTTCAAAAGAATGCAACAAATCACGAAAAGTTACTTACCACTTTGGGCCATGTTGGCTGCTGTATAGAGATGGGAAATGGACTCGTCATCTCGTCTTCCTCTGTTGGTCGACCCTGCTCCTCCATCGTTGTTCCTCTTCCGAGTCCCTGAAAGTATAAAACTGGCACAATGTTAGTAAAACTTCAAAAGAATGCAACAAATCACGAAAAGTTACTTACCACTTTGGGCCATGTTGGCTGCTGTATAGAGATGGGAAATGGACTCGTCATCTCGTCTTCCTCTGTTGGTCGACCCTGCTCCTCCATCGTTGTTCCTCTTCCGAGTCCCTGAAAGTATAAAACTGGCACAATGTTAGTAAAACTTCAAAAGAATGCAACAAATCACGAAAAGTTACTTACCACTTTGGGCCATGTTGGCTGCTGTATAGAGATGGGAAATGGACTCGTCATCTCGTCTTCCTCTGTTGGTCGACCCTGCTCCTCCATCGTTGTTCCTCTTCCGAGTCCCTGAAAGTATAAAACTGGCACAATGTTAGTAAAACTTCAAAAGAATGCAACAAATCACGAAAAGTTACTTACCACTTTGGGCCATGTTGGCTGCTGTATAGAGATGGGAAATGGACTCGTCATCTCGTCTTCCTCTGTTGGTCGACCTTGCTCCTCCATCGTTGTTCCTCTTCCGAGTCCCTGAAAGTATAAAACTGGCACAATGTTAGTAAAACTTCAAAAGAATGCAACAAATCACGAAAAGTTACTTACCACTTTGGGCCATGTTGGCTGCTGTATAGAGATGGGAAATGGACTCGTCATCTCGTCTTCCCCTGTTGGTCGACCCTGCTCCTCCATCGTTGTTCCTCTTCCCAGTCCCTGAAAGTATAAAACTGGCACAATGTTAGTAAAACTTCAAAAGAATGCAACAAATCACGAAAAGTTACTTACCACTTTGGGCCATGTTGGCTGCTGTATAGAGATGGGAAATGGACTCGTCATCTCGTCTTCCTCTGTTGGTCGACCCTGCTCCTCCATCGTTGTTCCTCTTCCGAGTCCCTGAAAGTATAAAACTGGCACAATGTTAGTAAAACTTCAAAAGAATGCAACAAATCACGAAAAGTTACTTACCACTTTGGGCCATGTTGGCTGCTGTATAGAGATGGGAAATGGACTCGTCATCTCGTCTTCCTCTGTTGGTCGACCCTGCTCCTCCATCGTTGTTCCTCTTCCGAGTCCCTGAAAGTATAAAACTGGCACAATGTTAGTAAAACTTCAAAAGAATGCAACAAATCACGAAAAGTTACTTACCACTTTGGGCCATGTTGGCTGCTGTATAGAGATGGGAAATGGACTCGTCATCTCGTCTTCCTCTGTTGGTCGACCCTGCTCCTCCATCGTTGTTCCTCTTCCCAGTCCCTGAAAGTATAAAACTGGCACAATGTTAGTAAAACTTCAAAAGAATGCAACAAATCACGAAAAGTTACTTACCACTTTGGGCCATGTTGGCTGCTGTATAGAGATGGGAAATGGACTCGTCATCTCGTCTTCCTCTGTTGGTCGACCCTGCTCCTCCATCGTTGTTCCTCTTCCGAGTCCCTGAAAGTATAAAACTGGCACAATGTTAGTAAAACTTCAAAAGAATGCAACAAATCACGAAAAGTTACTTACCACTTTGGGCCATGTTGGCTGCTGTATAGAGATGGGAAATGGACTCGTCATCTCGTCTTCCTCTGTTGGTCGACCCTGCTCCTCCATCGTTGTTCCTCTTCCGAGTCCCTGAAAGTATAAAACTGGCACAATGTTAGTAAAACTTCAAAAGAATGCAACAAATCACGAAAAGTTACTTACCACTTTGGGCCATGTTGGCTGCTGTATAGAGATGGGAAATGGACTCGTCATCTCGTCTTCCTCTGTTGGTCGACCCTGCTCCTCCATCGTTGTTCCTCTTCCGAGTCCCTGAAAGTATAAAACTGGCACAATGTTAGTAAAACTTCAAAAGAATGCAACAAATCACGAAAAGTTACTTACCACTTTGGGCCATGTTGGCTGCTGTATAGAGATGGGAAATGGACTCGTCATCAAACAATTCATCGTCTTCCTCTGTTGGTCGACCCATGGTTTGTCTCCACATCGTTGTTCCTCTTTCGCCGAGTCCCTGTTGAAAGTATCAAAAGTCTTTCAGTCTGGATTTAAACTCTTTTCAGAAGAAACAGGCTATAGCAATATCATGTTTATGTTTTAGTATAACCTTTGAATAGATCAACCTAAACTTCAAAAGAATGCAACAAATCACAAAAAGTTACTTACCACTTTGGGCCATGTTGGCTGCTGTATAGAGATGGGAAATGGACTCGTCATCTCGTCTTCCTCTGTTGGTCGACCCTGCTCCTCCATCGTTGTTCCTCTTCCGAGTTCCTGAAAGTATAAAACTGGCACAATGTTAGTAAAACTTCAAAAGAATGCAACAAATCACGAAAAGTTACTTACAACTTTGGGCCATGTTGGCTGCTGTATAGGGATGGGAAATGGACTCGTCATCTCAAGTATGCTCCTCCAAAAAGTATAAAACTGGCACAGTGTAAGTAAAACTTCAAAACAATGCAACAGATCACAAAAATGCAAGTGAATAAAATCAGTACAACACAATTCGTTGAAAAATCAGAAAACAATGACAGTGAATTCAGGAAGACGAATGAGGGGGAAAGGGAAGGGGATGGTTAGTTATGTTAGAGTCAGCAGGGGCCAGGGGGTAGGGGAAAGAAAGGAGAAAATCAAAAATACTTCCATATAAGCTTCCTTTGCTGTTGCTGTGGCTTCTGGTGATGTTTCTTCTGAACTGTCTCAGCATTTCTGCTTCCTGTCAATTCAAAATCAATAGGTCAAAGCCTGACAAAGCCAACATCAATTGGAAAGCCAAAATACTGGGAAAAGGTACAAAGAGGTCAAGTATGAATCTTACCCCATTTTCTGCTCATGAATGCTGTTAAATGGGAAAGGGACTGCTCCTCACTTCAGGATCCTGGTCAGCCTCAAATTTCTTCTGCTCTTATAAAGAGAAAACAGACACATCATAGGGGAGACACTCTCATTTCACATGAAGTATGAAACTTCATTTAAAAGCATATAGATAATCAAAGATTATGAAGCTCACCTCGACGAATGTTATCAGTTTAAGTAATGCAAATCTCACATCATATTTCCTTAACAGTTAGTATTTATCCTGACAACAATATTCAAGCAAATTCTGTTTAAATAGGTTTTAAAGTTCATTGAGGATTGACATTTTCCAAATACTTGAACCTGGTCACTCGTTTGAAGAATGCAGGTCAGATCCAGCATCCGAAGCAAGTTTCAAATGTCCATCTTTAGATGCATCATCCATGCAAGTTTGGTCAGGGTAGAGCTGAGTTGGGAATAATTTCATCACTCATCTGGAAAAAGTAGGTCAGATCAAGCATCCGAAGCAAGTCTGGTAGTGTCCATTCCTAGATGCATCATCCATGCTTGTTTGGATCGGGTAGGACTTACAGTTTCTTGGGAATGGACCTGCTCCAAAAACCTTAACCTGGTCACTCATCTGGAAAATGTGGGTCAGATCCAGCATCCGAAGCAAGTCTGGTAGTGTCCATTCCTAAATGCATCATCCATGCAATTTTGGTCCAGGTACGACTTATACTTACTAGAACATGGACTTGCTCCTAAAACTCTACCATGGCACAAATGCTAACCCTGAGGCTGGTGTCAGGGTATAGCATAACTACATCTTGACTTTGTTGAGGTAAGTTCAAGTTCAAAATAAAGCTTCAAGGTAAAAAAAAAATTTGCATTTGAATAACCTTCATCAATATCTCTAATTTGATTGTGATCATTCAACAGGTTAATAGTTATATTAGAATGACTATTTCCAAATATTTCCTTGCTCCAAAAATTTTGACTCTTTCACTCATCCATAAAATGTAGGTTGGATTCAGAATCTAAAGCAAGCCTGGTAATGGATCCATGAAAGATTGGTCAAAATAGGCCTTATAGTTACTTGGAAATGAGACTAGCTCAAAAAACTTTTAACCTAGTCACTCATATTAAAAATAAAGGCCAGATTCAGCATCCGAGGCAAGCCTGGTAGTGTACTTCCATATATTTTATTTTGGATGTACATGTTCGATTCCATATATTTTATTTTGGATGTACATGTTCGATTCTTGTAAGTTTGGTCAAAATACTTGGAAATGACACCTGCTTCAAAAACATTAACCTGATCATTCTTTTAAATTAGCTGAAATTGCAGTCTCTGAAACCCTGGTTGGTACAATGAAACATACTTGAAGCATCTTACATGCATCCCTTAGGGGCTAGGGCATAGATGTACTTAAAAAGAAGTCTGCTCCAAAAACTTTCATCTGGGACACCAACACTTGCACTGATCCCATGGGTGTTACTAATATTCCTGTCCACTTCATATTGGTGAGCAAAAAAATGATTAAAATGCATATTTTTTATGCCATCTCTGATTTGATGAATAAATTTATGCAAGTAAAATGTCATGCCGACAACCTCACCGCTTGATTTCCAGCAGAATCCGGAAAGGGGGCAAAACATCAATTGGCTGGGCTATTCCATTTGAGAAAAAAGTGACATTTGGTTGAAATTTTAAAAAAACTATAATTTTGTCATTTTTCTATTTATGTAAATAAATAATAGTTTATCTTTTATTTGCAAGGTACTCATTGACTTTTTTACTTGCATATGATGTATTAAGGTACAGGAGTACCTCCCTCTTTTTCAAAAGGGAGGGGAGTTTAGTGTGGTATGAGTGTGTGCAGGTATGTGTTAACTTGACACTGTGTGCGATGCGCAAGTGTGAGTAAGTTGTCGTCTGTTGTGCATGGTGGTGTGTAGATCTAGTCACTTGTATTGCAGGAGAGATTGCGTATTATAATATCGTAAGTCTTGTATGATTAATGCTGAATACAAATATAAACAATTACTATCATTGTCAGTTTATACATACAATACTTCAACATTCACTCAATCAGTATTTGGAGCACGTCGTTTATATATTTATTTGAACATCAATTAGATTATACATTACAGAGTCCAAACATTTTATAACCAAATTTTGTTTGTTTTGATTGTCTGTTGGAAATTTTCTTTGGTGAAATTGGGAAAACACATACTTTTTGCCATTATGAATGGAGCAAAAAACAGGCCCCTTCGACACCCTAAAAATGCCTGTCAGTAAAAATATTTGCATTATCAATACACAGTTGATTCAGGGCAAAGTTAACCCCACTTAGGATCTGATGTCCCAAACTTATGCAGAGTCTAAAAGCACAATACATTTTCAAACGATATTTCACTTTTTTGTTTTATAGATTAATTCACCTGTAGGTTTTAAGCTGTCCCTTTCCGCAGCTTAAAAATACTTTATCAACGTTTTATCAATACGTGCATCTGAATCTGACAAATGTTATTTCAAATAATGTTAACTGTTTTCCCCAACCAACTCACCTGACCGTCCACTGACGCCAAATTTGCTGTTCGCGCCACATGTCAAAATTTAAAACTCACAATTTCGATCCCGATGCAAATAAATTACAAATGCATGCAAGAAACAAATAATAAATTTATGTATTAATCAATCCCCCAATTATAAAACAATTTTAGCAATTAATCTAGAATATGCTCTACCTCTGGGCAGGACAAAATATTTATGTCTCAAACCTGTCTTGTTATATAAGCGACATTGCTAGGTTACTGGAAGGGGGGGGGGGGGTCTGAGATAATTTTTTTTAAAGAAATAAATGCGTTTCAATTTTTCATGTATTCGGTTGATTTTTATGGATTCTATTGCATTTTAACCGAAAGCCTTTTTTTTTTATTTTAATGCATATTTAAAAGATAAAATGCGACGAATATATCCTGTCCTATTTATTCCCTTGTAACTACATTTCCCCTAAAATTGCAGACTATTTTGTGTCATTTGTAAAACTATCTACAGCTGTCTAAGGAGATCTGGAAGTTGTGTCGTTTGACCACTGACCAGGGAAAATACCCTTTGAAAATGGCGGGGATGTCAAAATATACAACCTTCCTCAGAGAAATTAAACAAATTCTTAAACATTTTTTATTACAACAGCTTTAGAATATTTACCTCAATTTTTGATCATCTCTGGGCTCCTGTAATGCACTTTCGACTGAAAAATGTAATGAACTGATCTGAAAGTCTGCTGCGCAGTTACCTGTTACTGCTTTGTGAATTCAGTTGTGAATTATGTTCAAACATCATGCTCACGTGATTTAATTACGTATTCATCATTCATTACTCTACTGCGGTCATTAAATCGTGAAATGTGTATAAACTAACGCTGCGAGTACACAATTTTTTTGTTACATGTATATTGTAAATTTCAACAGAAAATCTTGTGCGTGGGTATTTTAATAAACTTTTTAAAATTACAGTCATGAATTACATTTATATGTAACAGTTATGTTTATTCAAAATAATATACCGGTATAAACATACATTGTAGACGGAAAAATATTCATGAATATACTTTAATATATAGGGTATATCAATCTATAATTGCTTGCATGCTTATTTTGAGTGCAGAATACCAAGTCATTATATTATATTTCAAGATTAAAAGCATGGCCTAGACTCCCAATCATAGTAGGACACAATAAATAGGCCAAGATTTTTCCTCAAATTCAATTTTTCTGAAACTTTGATATTTTGTTCTAGGATACAAAATCTCTCTTTATATATGATATGAAAGAAATTCAACCACACATTTTTTGCCCACATAGTCTGAAATATGGCCTATCATTTAGTAAAAAAAAAGTATTTCTTAAAAAAAAAGTGGTCCATCCGGGACCTGAACTCAGGACCTCTCACATGCGAAGCGAGAAACATACCACTAGACCACGGAATCGCTTTACATGGCATTAAGTATATGCAGAAGTGAAGTCACATACATGTAGATATTCATGTTCGGTATTGTCAAAATTTTACACAATCCATGGTGTTTGATTTATTTAGCCTTTATTAAACAGTTCTAATAGATGTAATAAGAACAAAATGTCCGCCGAGAACCTGTTTTATACGCAATAACTCTCCTCATGCCCCTGTGCTAAAAATAGCGACATGTAATACTATAAATACTAATAAAACAAACGGGGCGGGGCACTTTGAGAGGGGTGAGAGAGGTCCTAGGGAGTTTTGGTATAAAATTACATTGCATAAGCTCAAAATCTTCTTGAAATATCGCCCGGAAATGATAGTGTTACACACAGACAGAATGTATAAATACGACCTTGAACTTTGACCTTTTGACCTCAAAAGCAATAGGGGTCTTTATTAGGCCACAGGGAGTTGCTATGTAAAATTTCATTGCAACAGCTCAAATGGTTCTAGAGATATAATGTGGAAGCGAAAGTGTTACAACAGACAGAATTTGCTTATTTATGACCTTGACCTTTGACCTTTTGACCTCAAAATCAATAGGGGTCTTCTTTAGTCCATAGGGAGTTGCTATGCTAAATTTCATTGCAAAAGCTCAAAGGGTTCTCGAGATATCGTGTGGAAACGAAAGCGTTACAGACAGACAGAAAGACGGACGGACGGACAGAGGGACGGAC